CCTTTGGCATGTATTCTGTAATCCGTGCTGTGCTATGTTCATTATTTTGAACATAAGTCTAATATTCGATCTCGTTTAGCTGCCGTTGGTCTCCATAGACTCTTGAAAGAAATATCTGAAACAACAATGTAAATGCAAAACACAGAAAAGTGGTGTAAATGAACCAATCGAATTTTATACGCGCAAAAACAAGTTCACGCTGTACTTTAAATGTTTTTAAAATGTTTTCACTCTCATGATTTGATGAGTTTGTGTTTTTTTCTCTTGATTTATTAATGGCTTTATTTATTTATGTGGCCACTCAAAATGGGGGCTGTGTGAACTCTGTGTTCACTCGGTTTGACATGTCGAACTCATTTTATCAAATAATGAGCTGAATTGTTACATTTGTCGAGCAGAAGGCCACAATTTGAATTTGGAGTGATTAGCTGAGGGTGGCGGTTTTGCGAGCAGCACATTGGCCACTTAATGATAATTTGCCCTGACCAACTGGAAATCCTTTAATTCAAAATAAATACAACTGCAAACTGCCCAGATACTGCTAACATGCACATGAAGGAATTTTAAAGCCAGTTAATCTGTGTACCTGCTGACAGGAATGTTAATGACGGCTGAATCAACAGACACCAAAAGTAAAAGTGTGCTTTTGAGCGAGTTGTATTTGCTAAAATATGTCGTGCAATCCCATATTATCACCCTGTTCGAAGATGTTGCACATGTTGTAACTTCTTCATCCAGAGTGATGTGCGAATCCCTCGTGGAATCTCAGCGTTGGCCTGCCGTGAAAGCTCTGTGTTAAACCCTAGTACAAACAAAGTATCGCTCTGGCTTTGATCCACAAGGACCTTGCGCTCCGTCTCCCCTCGGTCCTGTGCGGTCAAGGAGGCAGAGAAGTGGCTCAGAGGGACAGGCTGCATTAAGAGAAACAGAAGAAGGAGGAAGCCCCATTCTCTCACTCCATCACACGTCTCATCTCTTTAGTCGTCTGGCTGGGGCCTAAAGTGACTTTGCCGTGATGTGACCAGGACAAACCGGGTGTGATGCCATGACGGCTAAGCGTGTGAACGTGGGTGTTTTTAGTTCTTGCATGTGTATTGTGTATTTAGGGGCAGGGACTGAATGTGTGTGCGTGTTTTGAGGGGAACGGTGCTTTTGATTTTGTATGTGCGCGCGCGTGTGTGTGTGTGTGAAGAAAGGAGGGGTTAAGGAGGACAGTCACTTTTGATTTGGCCTCAGAAGGGTGACAGGGACTTGGAGCTCCAGTGGCATGCTTTACTGAAACAATCTTCTCTGACCTCAAACAGGCGCACACAGACTGTCAGCCTGCCTCCTGATGACTTGTTCCTTGCTTCTTTTTTCATTATTTATTTTTCACTTTTGCAGTGAAATTTCATAGAAGGATGAAAAGCTTTTTCTTCCTGCTGTGTGACATCCTGAAAGCAGGCTTTAGTTTCTGTAGCCTTGGTGAGACTGCTAATGCTTTGGATGAGACGCAAAAGTCTCTGGCTCGCTCTCTGTATGGCTGATTGTTTGACAAGTTCATTTTACCTTGCCTTCCATTCTTGCATCAGATATATACAGTATATTTGAAAAAAGTAATGATTTAATATAACTGCAGGCTGTACTCATATTGTAGAAGGGGTGGGTTTTGGTCTTGGTGATTCTGGGGTAAAAAGGCGGAGACCTTTGAGGAAGAGAGAAGCTACTATGAACACGATGTTTATGTGTAGCTCAGGATTGGTTCCTCTGGAAAAGGAGTCTTTGACTGGAGGGATTTGGACATGCTGAAATTAAACAAGCCAATTAGGCAAGCAAAGAGTTTAGAGGTCAAAGCGCTCTCCATTAAAGCTGCTTTTCTCTACCTAACGACTAAGTCAGTATGTCTCGAGTCTGTTGAGGCAATAAATCTGATTATACCTCTCCCTTTCTTTCTCTATTTCTCTCAGTCACTGCTGTTTGGGGGTTTTTCTTGTTTTACACTCCACTGGTTGCTGCTTTTGGTAAATCTAAGGCATCATTTAACATGTTTTGGGGTGCAATTCTAGCTGCGCGCTCACATTACGTTCAACCAAACTCAATGACACCTTTTTTGTACCTGGTCTATTGTATCAGAGCACTACCACAGGGCCATTATCATTAGATCTATGGACACCCATCACAGCAGAATATGAAAAGTCGCAACTATACGCTGATAAGGATTGTAAGCTGTATTTAAAATAAGTCAAATCAAATTACAATCACATTTTTTTCCCCCTCATCTCGTGGTGCGTAGCACTGATGCACGATATCTGTGTCAGACGTTTCTGACTTCTCTCAGTTATAGATGTGCAATGAATTTTGTTACAAACTGATTCCTGCACAGGCTGTAACTAATGGTTGTTTTCATCACCTGCTAATCTGCCGGCTTTTTCAATTTAGACGTTAATCCCTCTCTCTACACACCATTAAATAATAATGAACATTCCTATAGTGCAATTTTAGAAAGTCCAGGGTGATTCTTAAGATGTCCTTTGTCCAACTTTGATTTTAAAACCCAAAGAAATTTTGGTTAGTGTGACAAAGAAACACAATTTTTTTTATTTCTTTTCCTTTTTTTTCATGTTACTCATTCAGTCGAGAGCTCATCTTTGTAACACAGACGGAAACAGAGAGCTGGCTGATCCTAAATGTGTGAGCGAAGACATTATTGCTCCACCTAATGACTTGATATAGCTGACTTCCTCTAAACTACCAACAAATCTATGTCTGAAATGGTGCTGACCGCTGCTGAACGGTGTGTGTGTGCTGTACAGTGACCCTTTATTTCTCCATCCATGTTGGTTGGGAGAAAAAAACGCCAGGCACAGAAACCACAGGAATATATCTCAGTGAATAAATGACTCCTTTTGTGTTTTATCTGGCTCTGAGAGCAAGTCTATCTTATAGACTTGTCTATACAATTGGATGTGCCAGTGGCCCTGAGAGAAGAAGAGCAGAGGGATGAGGAGCAGAACAGCTATGTCTTTAAAGCTGCTCGGTTTGTCCTCAGAGGTGAGAGGTGAAGACTCTCAATACCTCTATCAGAGCAATGCAGAAAGGAAAAAATATTTCAAGGTTAAACTGCCAATAGATTTTTTCTGAGAAATGTGTGAGCTGGTGGATAAAAGCATTGCGTCAAAACGTACCTTTTGAGACTTTGAGGGACACTGTTATTCTACCTTCACATCCAACTTTCCTCCTCCTCGCAGTTTTTTTTTCTCTCTGACGAACACCAATCACAGCGAAAGGTTTTGAGCGTGCTTTGCATTGATTGTTTTTTTTTTCTACTTGTGCAAGGCAGGCTTCACTAGTTGTCACCATCACTCCATCCACTTGTCCACTGCTGTTCATAGGAGGTGTGTTTGTCCAAGTGGACGTGGGAGACACTGTGGATTTATCTGATCTTACAAGCCATCAGGTTGAGCAGAGCTTTGCTAAACATGACCTGAAGTGTGCCGGCCCCCGAGCAAACGCTGCTGTCACCTTGGCCAACCCGAGCTGTCATCTCTTAGAATGGCCCATGAAAGTTGACAGCTGTGGCGTTCCCAAAACAAATCACTGCTGCGTTTGGTAACACTCTGCGTCCCCACGATTTAGCCCTCACCGAGACAAGAGCAGGAGCGGCGGCTGCTAATGCTCTGGCTAATGTACTGCCTGCATGTGTGGGTCTTCTTCTTCCTCTCTCTCCCTCTCTCTGTGTGCATGTACATGTTTGTATTTGAAAAATCTTAATGTGGTTTCTCTTTGTTTTCCTGCCACCTTCTTCCCTGGTTCAACATAACGATGTTCACATCTCCCTTTGTCTCCTTCTTCACTCCCCTCGCTATGGCCTTTTCCTGCAGCGCTTCTCCAGTGTTTGAGCTCACAGTACATCTTATGTGTCACCTAACCTGTGCACAGCAGGCTATACTGTTTCATCTACATTCAAAGGAAAAAAATGATTAAAAAAAAAAAAAAAAAAAAGACAAATCAGAAATTGTTATTTGTGTGGCTAAAAGTAGAATCTCTCTTATGAGATAAGAGATTGTAAACATTCAAGTCGTGAGCTTTTTTATGGGATTTAATTTGCAAGAATAACAATAAAATATGACAGTCTTCCTGTTGTACCACCATGAAAGTTAGATCTTTGTTCCCTGACAGTCAAGCCACTCCACAATTTGTCATTAAGGGTCCTTTCTTTGTAGTTAAAGAAAAAAAAAAAAACCTCAGTGTTCGCAAACCTTGACTGAACCGTGCAAGATCACAAACACTGAGGTGAAGGTTCAAGAGTGAATTTCTGTCTTAACTAGACAGCTGATTGAATATTCATAGTCAAAGAGAAACGAGAAAAAATTAATAAATAAATCTAATAGAAACCGAGGCTGTGTTTATTGATATATGTAATGGTGAAGTGGTCCGTACTAAATGAGTCTGTTTGCTCCCTCAAAAAACTGTTTTGTGAAAGTGTTACACTTTTTAACTGACATTTTTAATGAGCTTACACATGCTCTCTCTCTCTCACACACAAACTCACACACACACTCACACACTCACTCACACACACACACACTCGCAGCCACACACACTCCCACACACACATAAATGTACCTGTCAGACACGGTTTAAACACAGAGAATTTTGACTATTTGTTACTGGGCTGTTTTTAGACATCAAACTACGGCATTTGAGATGTGGTTTCCATTGATGTCAGGTTTTTTGTTTTTTTTATGTCACAGTCATTACTGATATATCCTTACCCTGGCTCATCTATAAAAGAGTGGTTCAGTTAAATTCAATTTTTTTCTCCCCTCGTTACATGAAAATTAAATAAGGTTTGCAAAAGTGGATTAGATTCTATTGCTGCTATATATACATATTTATCTATTTCTCTGCATTGCAGAAACCAGACGTCCGTACTGTACATTTGAAATGGTACGTTTAAAATATTTTGATATGTTTTGCAGATTTAGTTGACTGATTGCACGTCGTCTTTAATTTTCCAGCAGATGTTTGGAGGAGAGGCTTTTGTTCAGCTACACAGATGAACAACAGGAAGGAGGACATGGAGATCTCGTCTCACTACCGTCAGCTCCTCAGAGAGCTCAATGAGCAGAGGCAGCATGGCATCCTTTGCGATGCCTGTGTCATTGTGGACGGAAAGATCTTCAAAGCTCATAAGAATGTCCTCCTGGGATCGTCACGCTACTTTAAGACTCTTTACTGCCAGGTAAGAGACCTCGTTGGGGCAAAAAAATGATCTTTTACAGATATTTTTCCTTTATAGCATGAGGTAAATATTTTTTTTAAACCACTGCTGTTAATACTCCTTCTTATAACCCTCCAGGTTAAAAAGGGGGCAGAGCCTCACCACCAGACTACTGTCACTCATCTGGATATTGTCACAGCAACAGGCTTCAAAGCCATCCTGGACTTCATGTACTCGGCGCACCTTGCTCTCACCAGTAAGAATGTGATTGAGGTCATGTCAGCTGCCAGCTACCTGCAGATGACAGATATTGTCCAGGCTTGCCACAGCTTCATCAAGGCTGCACTAGACATCAGCATCCGCTCAGAGATGGCTGATGAGCTGGCCGATTTTGAAATGGGCGCTGTGGCTGCTGCTGGCCTAGGTGGAGGCGGGAGCGCTGGAGGTGGTGGAGGAGGAGCTGGTCTACCAGGGGCAGGGGGTGTTGCAGGAGCTGGTTTAGGAGGCGGAGGGGGCATAGTGGGCATGGCGTCTGAAGCCCTTGCTTCCATCATGTCTGGTCGCAGCACCTCTCCTTGGCTGGCTCGCCGGACCAGCCCGGCCAACTCTTCTGGGGACTCAGCCATCGCCAGCTGCCATGAGGGTGGCAGCACGTATGGAAAGGAGGACCAAGAACCACCGAAGAGCCATGAGAGCCAGGAAGAAGCCTGCCATGACTCTCAGCCTGCATGGCCTCATGACTATCGGCCTGGCATCACTGTCAAAGAGGAACAGGTATCCCCTGCCTCCTCCTCTCATCCCCGGGACACTCCCAGGGGGGCAGCCCAAAGCCAGGCGGAGCAAGGGACTGGGGGACCTGGTGGAGGAGGTGGAGAAGGGCCCTGGCAACCTCTGTCAGGATCAGGGCGAAGGAAGAACAGGAAGAACAAGGACACAGTCAGACATATTACCCAGCAGGCTGAGAGGAACTGGGACCGCGAGCGGGACAGAGAGAGAGAAAGAGACAGTAGGCCTGGATCTCCTCTGCCCTCCATGCTGGCTGTAGCTGGATGGAACTACAACGGGCAGGATATCCCAGGTAGGACTGACAAGCTTAGAACACTTTCTTCTATTTGTGGAAAGTTTAAAAGCAGTAATAGTGAAAACAAACCGGGTGTCTTTAGGTCAGAAATGTGGTCTTTAGATTATCAGGTCAACAGAACAGCAGCAGATGGAATTAAATTGGACAGGCTCTCAAAACTGGTAGGATGGAGGGAGGCCAAAGAAAGCCCTTTGTGGTGCTGATTTGATGACTTTGAGGCTTTAGGGTGTCCTGGAGTTGCTAGAGTTTTACAATGCTGGTCCCTACTTAGTTAGTTATCCAGTCATGTAATTAGTGATTACTGGTGAGATAATAAGATCAGGTTATTTAATTGGGTGAGAGTGTCACCTAACACCTAACTGTAGCAAAATCTAATTTATCTTTTAAAAGCCATCTTCTAACCAACAGACTAGTAGATGTGTTGGAGCAATTAAATTGCTTTGTTGACTTTATGTGCATTAGAGTGTGCATGACACTTTACAATACGGTGCATTAGTGCCTAATACTTTCATTCCTGCATGTGTATTTCAATGCATGTCAGCTATCCACAGTTTACTAGTATAAAATGACCTCTTTTCCTCCTCCGGGGTTGAGATTAGCGAGCTTATACACTAACGTGTTAGGCCTAAGATGATTATCTCAAATCTTGGAGGTGTGAGGTGAAGCCTGGGTAAATGCAGATGGATAATGAAATCCTCTCCTTACTGCAGTTTATGTAAGCCACACTCCCACATAAACAAGCAAATGCATATGCAAACACACTCATGAACACATATTTATTTTGAGAAAGCCTGTCTTGATCCTCGGCCTTGTGTGTTTAGTGAATTCCTTTAGACTAAAACTTATACATGAAAAACTTACCTGTCTGTGTGTGTGTGTGTGTGTGTGTGTTCGTTCACCTCTGTGTGAGTGTGAGCGTGTATGTGTGTCTATGTGAAGCCCAAGGCGTCGATAGGTAGATCATTAAAAGTAAGGGAAGCTAATCCTGGGCGCATTAAGGGAGTTGGCTGTGAAATGGGCACACGCGTCGCGCAGCGAAAGAAAACAGGATAATTGAATTGACCTGGGTCACTGCACGGATTACCAGCGCGTCCTCGCCATCCCAAGCTCCTCCCCTCTCTCTGGGGTTTAGGGAAGGACCTTCTGGAAAGGGCGAGAGGAGGGAAAAGGAAGAGAGAGTGGCAGATGAGAGGGGTAATGAGAAGGAAAAACGACAGAGACAAAAAGAAACGCACGTTGGAGAGTGCATCGTACCGGGCTTACGAGAGTTAGGCTGTGCATCTCAAAGTCTTCTAAGCAAGGTTATTGCGGTTACTAAAGCTAAAACCGGGAGTGGATATGAAAAACAAAAAAATGTTTTCACAAACTGAAATGGAAATTAAAAATTATACTTCAGAAAGAAGAAGTTTAAGTTAAAGAAAGATTGAATTTGATCAAAAGCATGAGGAGACAGAATTCTTCTTAATTTCTCGCCCTTGGTAAACAACCGCATGTTATAATAAAAAAAGGCCTTTAAAACTAATTAAACCCACTTTGGAAATCAACAAAAAGTAAACTGATTAAATTAATAAAAATGTCCCAGGTCCCTGATTTTGTGATTGTAGTACGGTGCCAGAACCACATGCACTCACAAGCTGAATGGCTCTATTAAGTCCCTTGGCTATAACCATGGTTCTGAGCTGTGGTGGAAAGAAGAGTTTAAGCCTGCCTGTGGTGAAGCAGCCATTAATAAGAAAGGTGTTGTCTCACCTAAAGGTTAGAGGAAGTCTAGTGTTGCTGCTGGTGTAGACTCGCCTGGTGCTCGCCAAAAGGCAACCATTTATCCTCGCTTTCACCCGGGTTTTGGGACTGGGCTCAGCATGGCGAAGAATGGAAGGATTGGGTCTCCTTCAGTTGGATGCCATTTAGCAGTAAAACATCATGTTACCAGTGAGCTTATTTGAGATTTAACAGCGGCAGTTTATATCAGGATGTGTGACACCATATTGTGTATTGAGTCCGTTTGCAGTGGGTGGTGTCTGTGTGCTCAGTAAAAGTTTAGGGGATTGCTGAACAAGTTTAGTGGTCTGATATTAGTCAGGGAGCCTGTACGGGGAGTGGTGAATTGTTTTGGTTGTGGGAGTGCTCCTCTGCTCGTAATGTGTAATGTCCACAAGTTTGTTTGACAAAGTCAGGGTTAAAAATATACAGGATGTCTGTGAGCTTATGAGAGTTAGTGTTCTTAAGTCCTAAGTCCCCCTTAAGTCCAGGATTTTGTCACCTCCAGGCAAAGATCACAATCAGGAGTGAAGCTGTATGGAAATGCCAAAGAATTAGAAAGTGATGCATGATTCTGTTACAGATTTTTCAAATATAATATTAGAAAGCGTTACAGCGATGGCAAAGAGTTACGTCTGTTTTATGACAGATTCTTTGCTGCTACTTGACAAATAAAGAGCTTATAATAATGGAACACTAAAAGCTCTCGCTGACACATAAATAATATTAATTTAAAGATGAAAACAAACAGACCCAACAAACGTAAAACACGTACATACACAGCCTATTGCTGCGATTGTTATCCCTACAAATAGAAAGCCCACGCTGCATTATTTTGATGATGTGACCATGGCAGGTCTGCTACTGTATTCTTTAGGCAATAAAGTCTGTAATTACTGAGTCATTCATTCTTTACTTCATTAGTTTTACTGACGTGTGGGATCGAACGCAGTTTATCTTACTGCCAATTATATAAATCAGAGCGCATTTAATGTTTGCCTGATAAACGATTTTCAAGTTTTCCAAATAGTTGCCTGAGTTCCTGCTGATTGACTTATAGGCTGTTTTTTATTGTTTTTTTGTAGGGATCATTCTGAATGGTCACATCAGTTGAAAAGAAAAAGCATACATGGCAAGTATGCATAATAATGATGATGATTCATTCCATTCACTCTCACAGTAAGCCAAGACACTGCAAGCAGGCGTTAAATCAGTCACGTTGAAATAAAAATGCAGACATAATAAATGTTACTAATACAACAAAGCCTGCTAAATGTGCTTATTGTGAGGTGGTAGGTTAACGGTTTAGAGTTAGTTCGTTAGTGTGGTGAGGGTGTTGTTTCATGAAGTCCAGTTGTTGCTTGTCATAAAGGGTATCCAGGAGAAAGGGCACCTTCAGTCTTAGATTAGCTTAATTGCTTCATTCTTTATTGATGAGAAGTGCCTAGACGCACTCTCTCCCTCACTCTTTTTCTCCCTCTCTCTCTCATTCATTCATCTGTAATCAGTGTCTATGCTTTGCTATTAGAAACGCTTATATGACGCACAACCACGAGGATTTCACTGGATCATTCTCTAATATAAGGATAATGTATAGCTGCGTAAAGGCTCAGTGTATTAGCGTGCATGAAAATGCCATGTGCCCATGTTGACATAAACAGCTGCGGGAATTAGGATTTGTTTTCTTTAGATCCCCTTCCGTTGCAAGCATCTGCTCTGTTCACTTGATGTCATTATTGAGGCCAGTAAGCACTCAGCATCCTTTTCTCTCCCGTGCTAACGCTTGATCTCCGCATTTCTTACGTTCACCTTGTCTGCCGCCACGAATGTTTGAAACATCACACGTGAAGCCAGAAAAGAAACCAGCCCCGCTTACATCTCAGGGAACTGAAACATGTGTATGTTTCTTTTTTACACAATACTATATTAGAGGTGACAATTTTTGAGGAAGAGAGTTTTTAATAGTCTGTACTTCTTTTGCCTGCATACGTCTCAAACCTTTGAATAATTATCCAAGATTATTTTTAGTTTGGCCCCCGCTGCTTCGTCCAGACCTGGATTAGAAAGCTCCGGCAAATCAAAGACATTGTTTTGAATATCAGGAGTCAATTTTTTATTTTTTTTAATCAGTTTAGTATATTCTTCTGCGGGGCCTTGAGTCAGCCTCTCTTTGTGTAATCCACGCAGGGTGTGCAATCAGTTAATCAATTTGATGAATGTGGCAGCTGTGTTTAAAGGAGGTAAAGTTGGTAGTCTGCTAATCTTGGGCTGGTAGCTCAATCCCCGGCTCCTCTAGTCCGCATGTCAAAGTGTCCCTGGGCAAGAAACTCAACCCCAGCCCTGGCTGCCCTCGATGTGTCAGTGTGTTAGTGGATGTGGCTGTGAGTGGTCCACAAGACTGTAGAGCTGCTACTTAAGTGCAGTTCTTTTGATTAAACAATATTAAATATTTTTTTATTAACCATGAAAGTGAACCTCAAATGTGCATATGAGTGATAATATTCTTGGCAACTCATGAAACGTAAGATTGTGCACACTACACACAATCTCATACAGTATTTAGAGATATCGCCAGATATCAGGAAGACGGCTAAGTTGTGACTATATGAGTGTCATTTTGAGACATTATGTGCCGTCTGTGCTCATTTTACTTATTTTATTAAAGTAGGAGTCACTTCTTTGGTTGGTGGATATGACATTTTGGAGGCAGACGTCACCCTTTCTTCTGAACCTGCCCCCTCAGACTGAGAAGAAGCCAGAGCTGCTGAAAACACGAGTTAACGATTGATTTAAAAAAAAAATTCTTGCTGCTTTTATACTTGGGGCAAACACAAACTTGATCTTTATCCCACATAATAACGGCACTGGAAATACTTTTTGCGTGTGTTTTTGCTGGTATTAAAACACACACACACACACACACACAGTGACCTTTAGTGGCAGCTTGGGGGATTTTGGCAATGGCCGGTGTGATATACACGCTCACATACACACAGCTTAGAGCATCTGATTATGTAGACGTGAACAGTTCAATCACACGTGGGCTGTTCTTTCCATTTCCCTCTAGCTGTTGCACATTGATTACATCGAGAATCTTTTTTGAAATCCAACATCTTTATCTGACTCTCTTCCTCTCTGCTCTGTGGCCTCAGAGTTCCCCTCCTAAACCACTTATTCACATTCGCTCACACATATACCCACAAAGATGCACTAAAAAGAGTGAAATCGTTTTTTCCATA